CATGCCAGAACTTGGAACACTGTATTTCTAGGGTTCATATGTCCTCTCCAGCTTGCTAGTACATTTCCTTTATTACGTACAAAAGCGTACAAAGCTACAAAAGCGCAGCCCAGTTTTCCATCTAATTTGGACCCGCCTGTAAATATGATTACTCCTGGACCGTCTGTGTTTGGTGCGAGAGCTAGGTCGTAGTACGTGAAGACTCCCTTCCTAAAAAGGGACGGGTGTGTTTCCAGCTGGGAACTCTTGAACTCATATTCAGAAAATTTATAGGTGACGTCCTCGGAAATCTTACATATTTGCAATAGGAAAACCGAGTCTATTGCAGCCTCCTGCATCGCTTTAATTGGCAGTGGTATTAGCCCTGCCAGGACTGATGCGGCCGCTGTTAAAGTCGTTCGGTACGCCCTAGTTACAAAAAGAACGAAAGGTCTCTGAAAGTTGTTTAGCACTTTGGCTTTTCTTGTATTCATCGGGCAGCCCAGATCGCCTCTCCATATGTAATTATCTTCTCTACGACTGTTGAGTAGAGAATTTATAAAATGTGAGGACGTAAACTCCAATTTGATCCCTGCATTCTTCTGAGGCTATTTGCAATGCGGTGTGCTTTCTCACGTTGAGCCCGTAGAAGGGGGATTCAAGTGAAAGCCTCATCCAACATGTCCTTAATTGCTTTTTGTTGACAAAGTCTCCATTATGCACTGCTAAGAAGGTCCTTTCACTCAGATAGCTCTTTAAAATATTTTGTCAGGTATTTGAGCTTTGTGGAGTGCCTTTAAGATTGCCGGCCACTACAGGGAGTCGAACGCACTTTTCAGGTCCAAACTTAAGACTGCTGCATGAAGCTTGTTATTACGGAATTTTTTCACCTGCCTGCATATTAAATCTAATGCGTTAAGTGTTGATCGGTGTTCTGTCGAACTGTGCTTCTGAGTCGAACTGTGCTTCTGAGAGAATTTGTCTCTGCGCTAGAAAGTATTTTAGTCTCAGGGTGATCAACTTCTCATATAGTTTGCCTATATGAGGCAAACTATATGACAGGGGACAAACAAGTTGCATCCATGTATTCTCCGGGATTCGAACCCAGACCCAATGGTATCGCAGTCGGCTTCCCTAACCACTATATCGTCTGGGCGGCTCATGAAGAGATATAAAGCGTAGATACACAGTATTGAGTAAAGCTCATTGTATATAATGGTAAAATTCCTAATCTCTGATGCATTCACTAAAATTATTGGACGGTATTCTTCAGGTAAATTTTAGTCCGGAAGCAGAAATTGTACAGAGGTTGTTTACATACTTTTAGAACGATGTCGACAAAGAATTTAAAAAAAGAAAGCAAATGTTTGGGAACAAACATTTCTGGCAACAGCTTATTATTTGAAATGAGAAATATCATCTGCCACTTTTAAATTTATTCTTCTTTCAAAATATCACAAGTAAACAAGCTGTAGAATAAAGCGTATGTTTTTACGCTTTTAGAAGGGAAATATTTCGATTCCATAATTTAAACATTCGAAAATGTATGGTATTAAAATTTCTAAGGGCAAAATAAGTGACATTATTAATCGAAAATGCAGAAACTATATATCATCAGAAACTATATATACACGAAAAAGATTTCAAACAAATACCCAGAAAAGGTACTTACTGTCTCTAATGTTTCTAAAGTTAAGTCATTGGTAACACGAGAAAATTCCCTAACGCAGAAATCATTTGCAAGGTATTTAACTACATCTAAAGTAAAAATAAATAAAATAATAAACCAAGATTTACACCATAAAAAAGGAAAAAGTATAACTTTCTCCAGCTATTGCCAAGGCATGTGGCTCAACGCAGAGCAGCTTGTAGAACACTCTATGAAAATTATTTAACAGAAGATAAATGGAATTATGTTGTGGCCGTGTATGTTTCTTCACTACATTAGACACTGTCCACACTGAGTGTGTATGCAAAATGTCAATTCGAGAGCTTATAAGGGAATAGTTTAAAAACTGGGTGTCACGATTTTGATTATGGGTGCAATGGTATGAGCGAATTAAATAGAAGCTTATAACAATACAGCTAGCTAAAAATAATAGTATAAAGTTAACTAATTGCTATTTTGAAAGTACTTAATTAAGAAGTAAAGTAAGTACCACGTTTCCTCGCCACTATTTTGATAACATTAGCCGAATGATAATATTCAATGACGTGAAAAAATTATCGCTCAAAATAGCAACGAAAAACAACTAATTTTATTATAAATATTACTAGAAACATATAAATAGGTACTTTCACAGAATTTTAATTAGGAAAAGGCAAAAGCCTTATATGAACTGTTTATAATGTTATTAAAGCAAACTAACTTTTGGAAATAACCTTTGAAAGCTCATAAAAGACCTTTGAATTTTCCAAATTGAAATGCTGTGAAAGCGCTTATTTATATGTTTCTAGAAGTGTTCATAATACTGCTGACAATTATTTCACCGATTTTCTACCCATAACCTTAATATTCAGAGAGCATCCATCATTGGAGAGAATATATCAGTGAAATATTTAAAATAATTCAAGAAAGCAAACTTAATTTAACAGAGATTGTCTTCAGGGATATTTTTTCGGGGGGAAGGAAGCTCCTGAAAAAGAGAGATCTGGCGTCTGATCACGCTCAAACGAAGAGAGCTGTTAAAAGTATATGTCAAGCAAAGAGTTTATTTATTTTTGCCTTATTCTAAATGTTTAACTGAAATCGAAACCAAGCTGTTTGGCGACATTTCTTTGTCACTTGGCAGTTTTTAATATAAGTTAATTTGAATGTATTTGGCGATTTAACTTAGATTTAAAAATTTCATTCTTTAATATTATATTTATATTGACCTATTTGTTGATTACAGCAAGCGACGTCTTTTCCATGTTTTATGTAAACATACGGCGGGGAGGACTTTAGCAGTTCAATAACGATATTCAAATGATAACATTAACCTCTGTCATATTAAGAGGCGTCTACTAGAGTTTATTGCGATCATATCGACAAATACCATGAGTGAACTAAATAAAAGCTGATAAAAAGAACGGACAATTATACTTTGCAAAGGAACGGAGATTGGAAGTTAAGGTGTATCACACTAATCATGCAATTAACAACGTATTGGTGGGGGAAAAGCCCATGTACTTAGATAAATCGAAAATCTAATTCTCATACGATCTAGAACGCTTGGTGAACGATGACGTTCTTTCAGAAACTGCAGCGGCGCTCCAAATCAGACGTTATTAAGTTCAGATCACTAGCTGTTAGTTAACTGGCTAATAATATATAACCATCTCTGTTGCATAACATGGAGGTCTGGAGGTTGGAAAACTTCCATGTATGTAACTGATAGTAAGTTTTTTGGTAAAAATATAGTTACAGGTACTCCTTACCGTAAATTGGCGATTTTCGGCGGTACATGGACACTACGTTTGTGCAATTCTTTGACTTGTTATTTTGTTTTTGTGTAGCAGCGATTTTGGGGCAAAAAATCGCCGCCATACAAAGCCAAAATAACAAGCCAAAGAACTGCACAAACTTGGCGTCCATGTATATATCGACCTATTTGCACTTAAAAAAAAAGCAGATAATTGCACAAACTTGGCACTGCGCACTTCATTGACTTTGACCCACACACATGGATGTATTTTCACTTAAAAAGATCAAAGGAGCAGCCAACAAAAAATGTATAATCTCAGTAAACTATATTTTAAATGAAACAATCACATAACATAAAAAAGAAAATTCATCTTAGCACTACACAAAGGAAATATCCACTTACCTTATTTAGAAATTTCCCTGTATTCAGTCAAAAAAATTTCCTTAACAGCATCCAAAAACTTCCTAAAATTCCCTGACCTAGAATCTGTATACTGGCTTCGCCACATAAATTCACAAAGATGAGAGTAAAAAATATCCTCCGTAGTACCGGTATTCTACGACGTTCGACTATATGCATTTCCTTCCAACATACAGGAAACTTATAATGGCAACTAAATAAACCTTCATTTACACGCCAGTCAATTAATGCTCTTTTCCTCTTTCGTTCCAAATCGTACAGAACTTCAGATTAATCTTACCACATTCAACCATCTTATCGTCTAAACCACAAGACAACAACTTACTTCCTAACCAATACACCACAAGCCCTTACAAATCTTTTCCCATCATTCAAATTCACCGCAATTACGCAACCAATTATGTCATAATTGGGTTTGCATAGCATTCACCTACTCAAGTTACCATAAATGAAACAACAACTTGGCGATAAATGAAACAAAAGCTTCGCGATAATCTAAGGGGAACCCTTGAATCTAATCTAACCAGTTTTTTTTTTTTTTTTTTTTTTTTTTTTTTTTTTTTTTTTAATGATATTTCGTTAATATGAGTAGTGTTCCGCTTCACTGTGATTACCAGAACTCATGAAAGTTAGAGTAGACTGAAGAATACCCCTTGTATTATTGCGAAGCTGTTGTTTCATTTATCGCCAAGTCAAGGGAGAGCGCAAAGCCAAGTTTGTGTAATTTTCTGGGTTTTTTTTTTTTTTTTTTTTTTTTTTTTTTTTAAGTGAAAATAGGTCGGCGAGTACATGAATAAAGTCAAGGGAGTGCGCAATGCCTAGTTTGTGCAATTCTGTGATGTTTTTTGAAGTGAAAATAGGTCAATGTGTACATGGATACCGAGTTTGTGCAATTCTTTGACTTGTTATTTTGTTTTTGTGTAGCGGCGATTTTTGGCGCTAAAATTGCCGCTACGCAAAGCCAAAATAACAAGTCAAAGAATTGTACAAACTCGGTATCCATGTACCGCCAAAAATCTCCAATTTTCCCCAAGGGGTACCCGTAAATATACTTTTACCCTCATGAATTGCTAATTATAAAATTATTATTTAAAATACCGAACTTTCAGCAGCAAAAATCGTCCTACTATCTTTTCAGTAGCAGAAGAAAAAAAAATTAACTTCTGTAACTGTACATTTAAACTCTGGCAACGCGGCGAATTTGTTTTGATTCGAAGTCATGTTGAGTTAGAGTGCATCAGTAAAATGTAATATTAAAGTGGCTGTAGTATGAAGTTATTGAAATCCTTTTGTAATTAATTAAATATCTGAATGGCCCAACACTACGATAGCATCTATGAACGTCAGGAAGAAGGTGTCTTTTTTTTTTTTTTTTGGTGCTTTATCATATTTTTAAAAATATGTCGATGTTTCGATTGTTTATATTACGTTGATTCGATTGTTTATATTATTTATGATTGTTTATATTAGGCCTGACGTATTATGTAGATAAATTAATAAATGTCTGGTCCGACCATCTTTCTGTTACTGAAGTTTATACGTGATCCTGTGTTCGAACTAATAGAAAACTGATAACGTCTTTCAGAATTCGATTTCCAGCGGAGTAATTTAACTGCATATGTTTGAAGTGAATAGTAGCCATCCACTCAACCACTGAGCCTTTATGCTAAATAAACTAAATCCAAAAGAGTACAGAAGTTAGAAATAATATTTGGCAAGTAAAATCTGCAACAGATTTTAATATCATTTTAGTTAAATCTTTTCTGTCTGTTGTTCTTAATGATAAAAGCAACTTCGATAATTAAATTTATTTAAAATAGAAAGCATTAATTGTGCTTAAAATATGATCAGCATGTTTTGCTGTAATATCTTGCTGATTAATTTCCCTTTTTTTTTTTTAAAGAAGTACTTCTGATGCTTTGACATGTGTTGTTAATTTAAATTAATCTTTATCTCTAACTTCATCCCCAATAAATGCTGACTTAGTTAAATGAAAAGTTAGTAATAAAAAGTTACAAAAGCCATCACCGAGTAATATCTCTTTAGAGCAGGGATGACAAACTTTTTGATGTGCTAGTATAGTAAAAATTGCAATTTTATTGTTTGGTTGCCATAGATTAATTGTTTTGCACTAAAAATAATTTTAAAAATTTTAATATAAAATAATGCAGATAAATTTCTATTCATGATTGTAATTCACTCCAGAAGGTCATTAGTCTTCCAAAATATGTGTAAACTAAAATTACTTTCCTCATAAAAATCAATATAAAATGTATTAATCCATTCAGGAACCACAAAGGGTTTCTTCTTTAAACTTTACAAATGATACTTTGTACATAAGTTAACAACATAAAAACAATAGAGATTGTTTAATCTAAGGTTAAAAAAAAAAAAAAAAAAAAAAAAAAAAAAAATAAGATAGAATAAATGGATGAAGGTTTAATTTAAATTAAATATACCTGAATGAAGAAGACTGGGTGACGTAAGTAAAAAGTATTGATAAAGGGAAAAGATGTTATTGTTTGTATGGAGATCCCTCCCTCCTCTAAAAGGAGGTAACTTTCTGGGGTATCTTTTTCCATTTTTTTCTTAATGTCTTTGTGCCACTAGGCCTCTTCTTGAGACTTTTTAGACTTCTGTTTCACTCAAAATTTGGCCAGTGTGATTTGTTGTTGTCTATGTTTTTAAATGTTTCAAAAATGAAATGCGACATTATCATTATAAATGCTTATATTACAGCTTGCCACTGCTTTATCAAAGTGATATCATTACATGAAACTTTGCAATGTATGTCATTTTGTGCAGCTCTCATAAATCAAGAAACTAGGATCATTTGTCCTTTCTTCCTCTTCCTCTGAAGGCATTTCTTCAGCAGTCATCTTTTGGTGCTTTTGAAATTGTTTCACTCCTTTCTTGTTATGCTCTATTATGGTCTTCTAGTAATTCCTCAGCAACTCCTCATAGTTAACTTCTAAGCACATGGTTTTGCATACCTGTCAACTCTTCCAGTTTTTTTACGTCTCTTGATAAGAATATTCATCCATTTAAGAATATCAATAGTATTCATAATCATATCATAATATCCTGTTTGACAGAAAATTATTAGCATTTCATAATGATGGAGATTGTGTATTAATCCAGACATTACTTAATAACTAAATTTTTTAGTTGCAAGAATCCTGAATTTATATTTAATCGGCAAAAGTTGGATGTTTGATCATATATAATATATATATATATATACAGTATAAGTTAAATATAACTATAGATGTCAATCTTAATCATAGTTGTGTTTAATTTTGATAATATATGTTTTAAATATACCCAGATTGTAGTATAATACTTGATTAATAATTGTTTATTATTATTTTCTAGAATGTCTGAAATTTGCCAATTGTTTAATTGAGAAATGCAAGTTGTCTTTTCCAGCTGTCAGATGTCTGAAAGATATCAACTGTAATCTAATAGTGTCATTATATGAAAATATTACAGGTCTCACTATTCTAGGTTTGTTTAATAACGTATTTGTTTACATAGTTGCATTTGTAATAATTTAATGAAAAATTAATACTTTTAAAAGATGTTATGACAGTTTCTTGCCTCTTACAAAAGACAGTGAACTTAGAAACCTGTTGTTCAACTCTGTGCATAAAAAGCTTGCCAATTATTAATCATTTGCATGACTAACTAATAAAACTTACCAGTTATTAGTTAACTGCATAACAAGTTTATGTGATCCCCTCTATTTTTTTGCTCCTGTTTGGTATCATTATTACATTATTGGAGGGGTTAAAACAAGAAGAATCAGTGTAATATTCATAAATTTGCAGGACTAGTTTCAAAGGTTCCATATTTGCACTTCTCCAGATGAAAAAAAGAGATATATTTAAACCTTTGAAACTAGTTCTGCAAATTTATGAATATTACTTTGATTCTACACACACGACATATCCTACTTTAGTACTACTGTTTACCGTAAATATTCATCTGTTTGATCAGAAGATAATTTAAGTAAAGGTCTTTCAATTTTATATTCATTTCCTTCGATTTTGCTATTCATTTCGCTCTTGAGCTTGAGACATCCAGTTCTCTTCCATTCCTCAACATCTTGTTCACACACGACATATCCAACTTTAGTACTACTGTTTACCGTAAATATTCATCTGTTTGCCATCCCGGTTGTTGATTAAGAACTAAATTACTTAAAAACAGTTGTATTGAGAGTTGCTTTTCACCTAACATTATTGATCAAGTAGTTAAAAAATTTTCATCTCAACACATCAAAAAGCACTCTATGATTTTAAGAGATTATAAAAATTCTATCGTTATTCCATTTCCATCACTTAGCTCTAACATTGCATTTATTTTACAGAAATTAAATTTTCATGTCTTTCCCCCTTCCATCAATAAAATTCACAGTTCCATATTTATGGACCCCTTTCGTGTATGAACTCCTGGAGTATGTACAGAATTCCTTACTAATGTACAAGGTGAGACCGAAAAGTAAGGTGACTCACCCCTCCTTTCAAAAATGAGAACAGCCCGACGACCTGACACATGCGCATTGCAATCTTCAGTATGTAACGTTGGAGTTCAGGGTCATTTGCAAAGTTTCTTGTTTGTTCATACAGTCTCTTAAACGTGACAAATTGCGACGGCAAATGTTGAAAGAGTTAGGAAGTTATTGCTGCAAGATCACCGTTTGTCCGTCCGAATAATGGCAAACAAATTGAATCTTCCTCATGAAATCGTCCGAAGAATATTGACACAGGCTTTGGATAAACGGAAACTTTGTGTGACATTTGTCCCTTATTACTTAAGCGAGGAACAAAAACAGCAGTGATTGGACTCCTGTGTGACTTCCTCAATATAGCAAGTAAAGATGACATGTTTTTACAGTCAATTATCACAGGAGATGAAATATGGTGTTTCGTGCATGATCCACAAACGAAACGACAAAGCGTGGAGTGGCACGGTCCCTCATTGCCGAAATCGAGAATGTTTTGTTTCAAAAAATCAAAGGTTAAGACAATTTTGATTACCTTTTTCATTGCACAGGGGAATATCCATAAAGAATACATACCGAAAGATCAAACAGTTAATGGTGAATTTTATTGCCATTTTATGAAATGTCTCTTGGCTCGCATTCGTCGTGTTTGGTCCCATCTCGCTGCATCAGGCAAGTGGTTTCTGTTGCATGATAATTCACACCCTCATATTGCAATGTGTGTTAGACAGTTCCTCGTGCAGCAAAAGGTTACAGAGTTATTTCACCCTCCTTATTCCCCTGATCAGCAGACTTTTTCCTCTTTTCACGACTTAAATTGGCACTAAACGGACACCAATTTTCAAGCATTAACTCAAAATATCATTATTGACTTATGGATGGCTTGAAACACAGTAAGAAACATTTTGAAGAAGTAGGTTTCTTTGAGAAATATAAAGAAAGACATCCCAAAAATTTGCTGTACAGAAGCTGAGCCTTCCTCTGATTAGTTGAGAATATGAAAAAGAGCTTCCAGTACAATTCTCTTTTCCCTCAATGTCATAAAATATTGCTATTGCATATATGAAACAGATTGCTCAGCACACAGTCTTCAGATTAGTTCTGGAAAGGAAATATTTCTCAGTAAAAATTTCTAATTGCATTTCATGTCTGGTAAGACCATTAGTAGTTGCTTAAAGCAACTTTTGAAATAGGGAGTAAGTAAAAAACCCCTTCTAATTGCAAAAACGTTTCTGAATGCAATAAGCTTCTATGTACTGTTATGTGAAAATCGTCCTTTATCTTTATAAAAGTATCTGAGAAAAATGCAATTTTTATTAAAATATCTAAACAGTAATATAGACACCTAACCAGGAAAGGAGAGCTTGTGCATTCTCTACATCATAGAATTATGCCCAAAAAGTGGAGCAAATTTTTAGAATTTCTGGTGGATAAAAAGGGTAATTCATGTATGTGTATGTATTTCAGAAATATTTTAAATACTGATTCAAATGTTTATTTCATTTTTTGTATAGATTTGATTGATTAGTAAAGATTTAGTGTAAAACTCAATGACATTTCTCTTAATGTAGCTGGTAAACTCAGCTAGTTTCATGGTCAAGATATAAAATGAAATTAAGAATATAAATATGGAATAATTCCTACACTTGTCAAATCTGGCTTTGAATAAAAGAGGAGAATATTCTTCTTTTAGTCCATGATGTTTACCATAATAAGTTTAGTGGTCACTTTTATAATTCTTTGAGATTTTAGAATTTGATATCCTTTTCCTCTTGCAGTCTCGAAGAGAAAATTTAGCATTAGGAACTTTAATTCAATTCCAAGATTATTTTAGAAGTGAAAAAGGAATTGTATTTTGTGTAAATTCTACTGGATTACATTTTGCTGCTTTACATGATCTTTTAGTTTCGGTTACATGAGCCCAAGCACAGCAAAAATATAAAAAGTTTTTAAATAAGCCAAAAGTGCAAGTTGCAGTTGTTTTCATGTATTGAATTTAAATATTCTTCTGATCAAATCTTTGAAATAAGTGTATTATCTTAAGAATTTAGAAATCCGTTCTGTCATTTTCCTTTAAGGAATAAATTTTAAAATTATCTACTATATTTGCTTATATTGGTTGTGAGCTATATAACAAATATCATAATGTTATGATTCCTTTTAAATCTATAGAAATTTCCTTCTAGAATTTTATACTGAGAATTAACTTGCAATAAAGACAGATTTTAGTCCATGATTTCACTGTGCTAAAAACAAGAAAATGCTTGTATGAGTAGTCTGATACAATGTAGAATCTAATTAAATGGTAAATAACTGTTTTTGTAGTGTATGGTATTTTTTGTTTTAAAGGAATAATAATATACGAATTTTAATATATGAATAATATGTATGTTTAACATATGAATTTTAATATATGAATAATATGTATTTTAACATATGAATTTATCTTCAAAAACTAGCTTGAAATCAAGGAGAGCTGTGAGTGCTTTAGTTGTTATATATGCCACTCTAATTTATATGTATTAATGAATTTAATGACATCAAATATTGTTGCACATCTTATGCTTCTCTTGATTTAATTAATAAAAATTCTGTTTAATGCAAATAAAAGCTAAAAAAACATTTGCATCTTTCTCTGTAAGATAAAGAAATTAATGCCATTGAAAACTGGAAAAAAATGTACTTAAAAATTAGTGTCTGAATTTGTATTAAATAACTTCATTATAACTTTCTGTGAAAGGTGATTATTTTACACAAGTAATAAGTATCTTCTAAATTTCACTAGTAAATAGCAGAGATAGAGAAAAACATTCACTTTAAAATAAAACCATGAAGGCATAGTTTTAGAGCATTTTCTATGATTAACGCTACTTTATAATAATGGCTTATGAATTTCAAGAGAATGGGGACATAGATTTCTCCCTTTTTTTGGCTGTCACAAACCAACCCCCTTTTTTTTAGTTCAACTTTAAACCTAATTTCATCTTTATAATTTAACGAAGTATAACTAACATTAATCTTATTGAAGTGACATATGTGTTTCGAGACACCAACCGGGTTATGTTATCTTTAGAAGTCCATAGTCTAAGACTGAAATGCTAATTAAGATACAATAACACATCGAACAAGTATTAATTTGCAAGTCAAACAACAAAAATCAGGGTTATATTTTCAAATATATATATTAGCTTAACTCCTGTCCAATCTTTCTTATCTTATCTAATCACTGTATGCTATCTCATTCATTTGCACTTTTGCAGCTGAGGATGATGGTTTGGTAAAAGCATTGAAACTTGTCCTGTGAAATTTGAAAATATAACGCTGATTTTTGGTGTTTGACTTCCAAATTAATACTGAAATGCTAGCTTGTTTGCTAGTTAACAAAATTCAGAGTTTGACTGCTGTTGTTATTTTTGAAAAGGTTAAATTGCAGTGGGAAACACAATAACAATATTCTTCTTTCCAAAAGTAAAAAATACTGCCTTCCTTTAAAAAAAATTTTTTTCAAAGGGTGTTTGCATTTTTTGTATCTCAAAAATGCACTTAGTCTTTCAGATTGGTTACAGTGCCAATCTAAAATCAAATTTTGGAGTTATGAATATTAAGTAAGTTTTCTTAAGTTATACTACTATCTTACCCATCTTTTTAAATGTGTGATCTCTAACTTTCTGTTTTTAAATCGGAGTGTCTACATGAATCGTAATTTAATTTACTTGACTTGTGATTCTTCAGAATTATTGCTGTGTAATAGTAAATATCAATTTCAAGTATTGCTTATTATCTTTTTTTAATTATAGACATAATTCATAAATAACTTATTGCTGAAAAATATTGAATTTTATCATCAATAATTTTGGGAGGTTATTGAGTGTTGGAAAAGAAAAAGAATGATTCTTGTTTATCATAAGGTAGTCATTTTAAATTAGATTTTTCATATGTCTTCTGTAAAATTTGTGAAATATTGAGATCTCTGGGGTCTTTGATATTAAAAGCATCTGGAACATATTCAAAGGCTTTTGAGAAACAAAAGAACATTTTGTTGTTTTAGCTAGCAACTGTTTATGAAAAAGCAGCACGATTCAAAATTTTATCAAAACATATTTCAAAATTTTTCACATAAGTCTTTGTTGGTTTACTAAGTCTAATCTTTCATAAATAATAAAGTAATGGAAGTAAATTCTTTGTTTGGCATGTTTTAAGAATTTTCTTGTAATTTAATTAAAAATTATCTTTAGTTATGTGGTGGCCAAAGTAAGGAAATTATATCTGACTTTTTTTTCCGTATGCAGTTCTTAACTTTGTAATATGGTTTGAGGAAGTAAAAATAATAAAATTAACAAAGACTAGCAATTTAATTTTTATTTCTTCCTATTTTTTATTACTTGTTATATTAGTTGAATGTATGTATTTTATTTTCGTGAGCACGCATAACTCTGAATATTGAATTTTTTCCTGATATGTTGATTGAGGAATTTTGTGAAATTACTTTTCTAGATTTGTTGTCTTGTGAGAACGCTGTAGATGAAGCACATAATGTTCAGGCTGTTATTGATGCCTTGTCTTTGGATCTGCTTGGAATATCCCTGTCTCACATAACTGGGGAAGACATAGTAGCTGGAGATGTTACTGCCATTTATAATCTTCTTGAAATTTTGGAAGGAATTTTTTTACTTACATCTGGTGGCAAAAATAATAGCACTTCTAGTAGTAAGTAAATTATATCTTTAAACCTTTACAAATTTTATTTCAGATTGAAATAATTTAGAAGTTCTGCATTTAAATAATAACTTCAAGGAATACTACACTCTAATATAAATTTTGTATGGCTGCGTTATTTCTTTATAATCTAAAATTAAGTTCTAAATAAATTTTTTTTTTTTTTTTTTTTTTTTTTTTTTTAGAAAACAGACTTAGCGATAGAAATCCAGTAAAATCTGTTACATATTTATATATCATATTTTATATATTAAAAATATTTACATAAAGTAAAAAATTTAGGCCCAAATTTTCACAAAGACCAAAAATTGAAGTTCATAAGTAATAAATTTCAAATAATCCCATAAATGCTATAAAGAATTTAATAAATGTTAAAACCAAAACTCTTCAAGCAAGAAATATCACAATTAAAAAAAAATCAATGAAATTTTTAAAGAAAAAAAAGGACATTATAGAAGAGGAATTCAGTCAACCTCACCGCCACTTGTCAGGAGGAGGAACATTGAAATCTCTCTTCCGCAAAAGTCCTTGCTGATGAACCATTTCAATGTATTTTAATTATAATAGTTCACCCAAAAATTCTGGCCCCTGTCCAAAGCAAGGAAAAACAAGGTAAATTCAGATTAAAATCTTGAATAAAGAGAATTCTATTCAAAGAATTGAAAACATAAGTGAAATAATAAAATGTTTAGTGAAAAATACAAATCAAAATTTTACCTTTAAACTAAGAGCACATAATCCAAAGAATTTAAAACGTAAGTGAAATTCTAAACCCTTAGTGAAAAGACTTGAAGACTTGAATAAAAACTCACAAGAAGTAATAAAAAGTTTCGAGCACTTTCTTTAGAACACAATCAAAACTATGAATAAGATTCTTACAGTAGTTACATATAGCTTTGCCACTTTGTCTTCATTTGCGAAACTAGAATACTGTGACAAGAAATTAAATGCTCAAAAGGCTAAAAATTAGAACATAAGATAGAATTTTGAAACCAAAGAAAAACTTTGATACTTCTATTAAAATTTTAATTTTGAAAAAGGAAGAATGTTTTACTAATTTAAATTAAATTTAAGTAAATTCTGACCCCCCTTTTTTATATATATAACAAAAAAAGGAATAAAGAAGTGTAAAACTTTAATTAAATTTTAGAATCAATTATTCTTTAAAATTAGTAGACTCAAAAGAGGTGCTCAAAAAGTGTTTAATAATAGTTTTGTAAAAATGAGTCAAAAAATGTATAAATTTGAATGTTAGATTTTTTAACTTTTTTATTTAAAATTACGAGAAAAAGGTAAAAGAGAGCTTAAAAAAGGAAGTAAAAGAACTATTGTAAGAAAAGTAAAATAGCCTTTACATCATGGGTTTATCATAACAACTTTGAATATAGAAGACCTTTTTTTAATAATAGAATAGTAATTAAGAGAATTAAATAAATAAAAACCTATAAACTCTTTAAATCATCCTTCTTTATCCTTCTCTTTTGGAGCTTTCAAGATAAAAATTTCATACTTTTAAAAAGTATTATAGGGTGTAGACTACTCCAGATTTTTTTAAAAGACCATTAATAAATTTTATTGGAATTTCATTTTCTTTTAAAATTTGTGAGAATTAGAATTTTCTCTTTTTGTATTTTTATTTCAGTGCAAACATTTTTAATTCTGCTAATTTGGTTAATAATAGTATTTTCAATAACTTTTTTACATATGTTGGAGTTCCAATTTATAAGTTTAATAGTAGAAAAATTAAAATTTTTACTTTTATCAAAAAGTTTAATTTTTTTTTTTAAGATTATGAATACTTAGATCAATATAAACTATTTGTTTTCTTTTTATTGATCTTATTACGTTTTAGACAGTTTGGGTAGATGTTGCTATTTTTGATGTGATTATAATTGTTGAAAGTAATATTGTCATCAATATATAAGTGTGTTCAAATTTACTGAAAACATTATCAGAAAGGCTCTTTAGGAATTTGAATTCTTTAGAAAATAGAAATAAGTTACAAAGATGAGTTGAATATGAAAATTACTTTATATAACTGGCATTAAGTTCTGCATGTCTGCTATATCTAAAACAGTTTCAGATAATTTATTACAATTTTTATATTAAATTTGGAAAATATTTAGGATTTGCAAGAAATGAATGTATTCACTTCCAAATTATTTTACTTTTCTGTATTTTCCAAATTATAAACCGACACATTTTATACGCTTGCCAGCAAAAATATCCATATGCAAGAGGAAAAACTTCAAAATTTTGAGACCTTCAAATTTTTAACAATTATTTATTAGTCATTTTACTAAATGGTCAGTATTCCCCCCCCCCATTTATGTAAGTTTACAATTTTTTTTTTTTTTAACAGCAAAAAGACATAAGACTTCACTGAAACAAAACAGAAAAAGTATCTGTACATAGCAATATTACATTATGATATAAGTGGTCTCAGTAACTTGTAGGTTAACACTGCTGCTTGAGAATCTCTGCAAGCTGATTTGTTATAAAGCTGAACCAGTTTTGTTGTATCTTCCTTATTTATTTTGCTCCATTCATTCATGATGATGTTTCTGAGCATTTCTTTAGAAGTTATGTGGTGTTGACGGTTCCTATGCTCAATCTCACTAATGCTCAAGGGGATTGAGGTTAAGGGTGAGTGACCACTAGGGGATTGGGGTAGTATAAGCAATTGGTGTTTTGTACTATATGTGTATTATTAAATGCAGTACCACTCTTATGCCATAATAGCTTCCTTTCTTTTGATACTAAATTTGCTTTAGTCTGAAAATAAGATAATTTTCCAAAATATCGATCATTATTTACATATTATTAGTAAAATCCATTCATTTTTTCCTGTTAACATCTGATATATATGGTTTTTCAGGTGCTACATGGGCACAATGTGTAGTCTTCTTTATAATTTTGCGAACAGTAGTTCTTTATAGTTTTGCGAACAGTAACTTCTTTATAAGCAGGTGAAAGCATCCAAAACTCTTTTGGCAAGGAACATGGATATCCTTGCCAAAAGAGTTTTGCATGCTTTCACCTGCTTAGGAAGCAATTACAATAAGATAATTTTTCACTGACTGCAAAGTAGTTCATTATTCCTGTACAGTCAGTTTGTTAGAGCACTAAGAATGTGGCTTGAAATAGAGTGTGATAAATATCCACACCAAGAGTGTGGTTACAATAGAACCATTGGAACTAAATAATTATATGACTTACTGGACAGAATAATGAGTCCAGTTTTTAAGTCTGTCCAATTTCATAGTAAGTTTTGCCGTCGTTTCAAAACTTCAGAATAATTTTTCTCTCATCAGCTGTAATTTCTTTAGTTTTGGGGGCTATCACTAATTTCTTAACATACAAATTTTAAACTACTCAAACACAATTTATTCAAACAAAAATTGATCATGAACTAAATTAGAACCTTTACTGCAAGTTTAAGCGTTTCCTCTAATAATGAGGATTCCTCTTTTTGTATGTGTACAGAAAATTTTTGTAGCACAAGGTGCTACCATTTATTTATTTTTGAGTTGAACATTTTTAAACTAACAAGTCTTGTAAAAAATGCTGGGAATTTAGAAGAGTGTTCAACAAATGAGTATTCAAAAGAAAAAAAATCAAGTAAAATTTATATTTCATTTTGGTAAATATGACAACTTTTTTCTCTGCATGTACAGATATTTTTTCTCTCAAGTGTATGTGTTTTATAATCTTTAGGAAGACTCTATCTTCATTTGGTACTTATGTAGTAATGCAACCACCTTGGCACAATTTGTTGATTTTTTACAGATGGAAAGGTTACTCGCCCACTGCAAGTTGATGGTTTTCACAACTTTCTTTTAAATATTCCCAAACTATCAATATTTGTAAAAGTTAGCAAACATTATCAACATATGAAAAAGAAACATTAATAACTGAAAATACGAATTTTAATTATTAAGTAAGGAATTATGTGATACATTAAAAAAAATTTAAATTAAAAAATGCTGTCCGAATCTTTCTGTATCCCCCCCCGGTGCTATTCTTCTCCCCAAGTACATAGTGATATGTTTATGCTTAAAGAAACATCAGAGTATTGCAGAGATATGGCATTGTGCAAATTTCGGTAGCATCAGCTATCTACCAAATGTGTCTCCTCGTTGTTCACTTTAGAGATTTTAGCATCAAACTTCTGTGTTCCTAAAGATATTTTACCACAGTTTCCTCTATCACTGGAAAATTCTACAAGTGTATGTTTTAAAATTAAATTTAAGACATAAAATATCACTTTATATCTATATATAAAAGCCATTGGCATACAACAAAAAGAGTATATGTGAAAATGAGGACGTTGCTTGACTAAAGGATTTTTATGAGCATGGTTACCTGAAAAATCATTATGTGCATGGTTGCCAGAGTTTGTCACATTCTGAAAATTTTTATAGGTGGTTGTGATAACTCATAAATACCATTTATTTACATTCTAAGCATAAACTTAAAAATATACTTTAAAACTCTTATTTTGTTTTAAATAATTTCAGTATTATTCTTTTTTGTCTTTGTTGCTGTCATATTGGAAAGAAATTACTTCTAAATATAGATAAATATTTTTTTTAATATTTAATTTTATTTTCTTTATATTTTTGTAATAGTTTTTCTCTCTCACGTGCACACTGAAATTTTAAATTCAAGTATACTTTTTAATATGAAGCGAGTCTAATGTATTTCATATGTTGGTAATGCATATGTGTACATAACAGATTATTATACATCTCACAGAATATTATCTGGAATTATCTTTCATATAAAAAGAGCTATGTAGCCATTTTGAGTAAATTCCTTTCAAATTTAGGCCTTGTACACAAGGGTAGTTTGAAGCAACCTTAACTCTTTCTGGTAGGGTGTGCCCAAAAAATTCCCTCTGTATGTACAGAAAAATTAAATGGAAAAAAGGCTTTATAGGTTGCTATAAGTTACTTTTAACCTTCTTTATTTATACTAGATGATTGCACAACATAAATCAATCTATACATTTTAGCTATGTTTAGTTTTTAAATACAGTCAAAAGTCTTTAATCCGGACTTGTCAAGACTTCGGCAATTCCGGATAATAGATCATCAGTTTAAATCTGGTAAGATGGCATGCAGAAATTATAAAATTAAAAATATGAAACCATAATTTATGAAATAAAGAGCAATTATGATCTAAAGGGTATCAAAATTTCAAAAAAAAAAAAAAGCTTAATATTTATGTGTTTATTTTATTAAACATTTTTTTCAATGCGTGCATACGTAAAGCATACATTACACATAGTCGAAATTAGGAAATTGCAACCAGAAAACTATTTGATGTGTATTCGTGATATTTATAATGACGGGGAATTTGATTTAAATCATATCAAAGACGGAGTACATCGAGATGAAATACTACATTTAGTAAATAATTATAAGCCGAATAAAATAAAAACATCTTCCCTGAAGATAAGGATAGTGCTGACAGATCAACTTCCAGTTCATTGCACACCACGACGCCCACCCTTCCGCAGAGCAGCATAAAATTGATAAACAGATTTCGGAATGGTAATCAGAAATTCTTTTTGACATAATTGAAAGTTCAAGCTTACTTTTATAAAATTGCTCTAACAGTCCGCAAAAAATAATAAGCCAGATCCAATTAGAAGATTAAGGAAGAACGCAATCTGCAACATTAACTGAAATAGATAATTAGATAATTTTAGCTTAGCTTATACCGTCTGTTATACATTAAACATGTATGCGTAAACGTATTATGCGCGTGCGTTGATGCATGTGCAGAAAGTTTGAGGTTTGCATTATAGATCATTCCGGATTATGGACGTCCTGATAAAAGACTTTTGACTGTACCTTCATTTTTTAAAGAAATCTTCCAGATTTTTTTAAGATATAAAAGGAATTGCTTGAGAAGAAATTTCTATGTTATTTTTCTGGGCTGTAAGGCAAAATTTTTACCTTGAAATCTTGCCTAAAATCAAATGACGAATAGTATCTGGTGTGGATTATTGAAAGAGTGGGACCACTGAAAACAGGATCAGACCAACAACTGTATCCTTATTTCACTGCAGTATTTTCTTCCGTGAGATAGAAAAATTGGTGCACATCTGTTTTTTTTTTTTTTTTTTGAGGGAGAGGTTTTTTTATCAGCGAAGAAATTGTTGGGGTGTTTTTCTGAAGGTCAGTGATAATTTTATCAGTTAGCTCTTTGATTTTTCAGTTCTCTTTTTTCTCTTTTGCTTCTGTAGAAAGAAACAACTTTTTCCTTTTGCTTCTTTCAACTAAAGCAAAAGAGAAAAAGAGCAGTTTTCTTTTTTCTTTTGCTTCTGTTGAAAGAAGTTTTGTTAGCTCTACATTTTGATAGTTTTAAGTTGTAGATGTTTATTTAATTTTATTTTATAGTTTATATTTTCTTAATTGTAGATATAGTATTAATTTATTTTTTCTGATTTTTAATTATTTTGCAAATGGATCAGAGAGGATGACCATTTCTGAAGCACTGAAAGTGCTAAACAAATTGCCTTCAGACAGTGAATCCAATACTGACCCCAGGTACCTGTGCAAAACATGCAGTGTTGGGTTGCACTTTTTCGAAGATGGTATCAATTGCTTCAAAATGTACCACCATGGGAACAGATTTTACATTACACCCAAAGGGATGTTTTTTAATGTTTTGTGTGTAACCTTTATTTATTAAATATCATGTTCTTTGCACTTACTATAAAATTCAATTCAACAGCAATACTACAGAATAATTTTAAAATAAGCATATCTTTAGAATTTCCAATACATAGTCTTGCATGCTGGAGATAAAAATGTTTCCTCTGATACAGTATTGCCATTGCTCTCTTTGAAATTGTTGAGTTTGTTAATCAAAATTTCATTAAAATGTTACAAAATATGAAATCAATAATAAATTCCAAATTAGAGCTTCTAGATGCCCATATTCGGTGGAGGATTACGTTATTCAAAATTTGATGGCTCTAGGTACCATTGTTTTATCACAATGTGAGAAACATATATACATTTATGCAGATTCTTCATTATTTAATTTCTTTAAGTATAACACAAAGTGATAATATCAAATAACCAAGTTACCTTTTTTTTTTAATTTATTCGCATGTAATCATCACATAACCAAGAATAGCTTTTTGGAGGAGGTAGAGTAGCAGGCCCCCTCATGGTGCACCCTGGGTAATGCTAAATCTGCTATGGTAATCAGAGTCCGGTGTTTTTTAATCATTGCTCGCTTCAGCACTCTTTTTGAAGCTTTTCATTCAATGAGCCCGCTTCAGCACACCCATAGAATTAAAATGGTAAGTGCTATTTTTGCAAAATTTTACCTGTGTACTCTTCTAGGCATGATTAGACTGCCTACCTTTTTTTTTTTTTTTTTTTTTTTTTTTGTTTGTTGTTGAAATTCCAACTTTAAAATGTAGCATGGCAGAAAGGGTTAAAGTCCAGTTTCTTAAAACTATTTTACTCAAATAGAAAAGCAGCCTCAGTCAGTAGATGGATATATCACAGTTTGATGTCAATCTCTTTCAAAGCATAATCACATTATGTACAAGCTGATTACTTCTATTCATTTAAAAAACATGATTGATGAGTATCACAAAAGCCATTTTATTAAATTCATTTCTTTTTAACATTATTACATACAATGAATTTTGGATATGGGTTGGAAGACATACATCTGAGTAGGTCTAAAAGTACAGCTGATCTCATACCTGATTTTTCCATCTGGGTGTGTAGAACAAGCTTCAATGTAAACAAGTTAAATTCTAATTTTAAAAAATTGCATGTATATTTCATAAAAACTTTTATATTCTAAAATTTATTTTATTTATTATTATTTTATTTATTTATTGCTTGTGTATTACCTCGTTTTGTTTCCTTGATAGTGTGGTTTGCTTTTTGAGAACAGAATAGCATTTTAGGAGATAAAATTTATAAATTTTAAGGAAATGAAATTGATAATTTATTCTTATCATTAATAAATGAGAGTCTTACATTTATTTAGGCTGCAGAGCTCTCAATTGTTAATGATTTGAATAAATAATTATCTGCTTTCTAAATTTCTAGAGATAGCTTTTTTGCAGAATATGTAAATGCATATCTGCTATTTACTTAAAAACTGATCTGATAATCTGACAGATATGCTTCCCATATGTGTAGGTTATTCTGTTTCAAGTAAAAAAGGCATTAAAAGAAAAATATCCCGTTTATCTAGCAGAAAACAGAAACTCCAGCCTGGATCTATTGAATTTGCTGAAAATAATGAAAATCTGAGAAATAAGGTAGTGCCTTTGTTTTCTTAATACATACATGTTAAAGATATACAAATATTAAACAAAAAGAAACTTTATGAATCTAATTAATTTCTTAAATCTGTAATTCTTTTAAATAGCTAGACAGCAGCTTTATTTCATTTGGTAGTACACATTCTTATGCTTCAACCTCATCATCATTAGGGCATGAAAAGGGTAAGAATATTGAACATATTACTATGAATTAAAATATACTTGTATGTGACTTTCTTTAAAATGTTTCTGTAGCTTCTGTTTTGTAGTAAATATAGAAATTATTGTAATTTAATTTTACTAAAAATTTCATGTAAATTTCTATGCACAAGCATTATAAACAGTTTTCTTGTGCATCATGTTTTGCACAGGCACTACACTATAATTCAATAAAACTCGGGAACAATGGACTGTATTATATCTCACTTTAATTCTCATTAATTTACATCGTTCATGGCCACTCGAAGCCACGAATTCTCTCACACGCTCTTAGCTCACAATCTCATGTCACAAACTCCAAGAGCTCAAAACGCATGCGCCGACGCTAGTAATGAAGAGCGCGCGCAGGCGCAACACATCATCTAGACTTTCAATTGAGTATCAGCATGCTGAAGTGAAATGTTTCATTTTTTTTTAAAATGTATAAAAAGATCATTCTTTGTATTCAAATGGACTTCATATACAATTGTAAATATTAATGTAATTATGAATATACATTAACAATACATTCATAATATACGTTAATAATATATCAATGTTTAATGCATATTAAATTACCTCATGATAATGCATTGTACCATATATTATATCATATATAATATATCATGTACGCTAATATGTGAATGATAGTTATTCTTCTTAAATGGAATCTAAAATGAAAAACTTCTATATGATGCTATCTCCCATCCCCTCTCCTTCTTCCCCCACCTTTGTTGTTATTATTATTATTACTGCATTATTTTAGCATTGCAGAGCAAGTTTGGAATATGCTCTATGTTTTCTTGTTGATAAGTTCATATATAATGTTCACAAACACTTTGTAGTTGCCATGTTTGCTTTTAATATGGCATCAAAAACATTTTTTCATCTCAAAGGCTTTAGCCATAGGAACTCTGTAAGGTAAGTCTTATAATGATAGTGAACCATGCCTCATGACTTAGCAAAATGCCAATCTTAACATTTTAATCATGCGTAGCTGTTGTTGGATCAATAAAATGCTAACCTGCGTTTTCTAGTTCCTTTGTTCTGTTGTTTACCAATAGTCTGTATAATTGTAAATCCTTCTTATACATGGTTGACAATTTTTTCCATGAGTTTGTTTGCCTATCTCTGCAGAACCTAAACGAGAAAGAATTCACCAGTCTCTCAACACAACCTGCCAGATATCCAGTATTGTAGAAGAACCTTGCCAGCTTTGTTTTTTCCTTGTACAAATACATTTTAATTTATGCTCATAGTTTTTTTCAGGTTCATATATTTATTTGGTCTCTCTTAAACTGTACCACTCAATGTCTGTATTTTCATAAAAGCTGAGTAGCTTCTCCTATCACTTAATTTATATCACGTCTTCTGGTCAACAGTAAATAAATCATTGCACTATAGCAAACAGCTGAAACTATTGATTCATTTTTTAATTCAATTTTATTTTCTATTTGTAATTAAGGTATTTAATTACAAGTTATCCCATTGATCGTTAACCTGTCACCAAGATATTTGTCGACAGACTAATATGTTTGTATTATCTCATTGATTGTGAACCTGTCACCAAGGAGCCTGATTTACTTATGAGTAAGTGTGATGTAACAACATATTCAAAACATCTACACTTTAGTTTGATGTAATGGTGATTGATTCTCAATAAGCCACTTTTTATTTGTATGAGTATGGATATAAATAAACTGTTATAGCTTTTTATTTTAATTGCCATTTAAGGCCACAGATAACATGGCTCACTAATTGTACTTATTTCAAAATATTTTCGTTTTTGACAACTTTGCAGTAAGAGAAACAGCAATTCAGCTAGGTTTAGGAACAGAAGTGAAGTCGGTTGTAATTCGAGATGGAGTTTTAGTTCAAAAAGAGAGAGAACATTTTTGGTTTGCAAATTTTGATTCTCAGTTCATAATTAGTTATGTCATCATCGCTATGAAAGGGAAATATCTAAATTAAATTAGAGAATGAAGAGGCTACTGCAAATATAAATTAGAATTTTCACATTTTTGTATCTTATATATTCTGTATCTTATATATATATGATGTATCAGCTTTTGTCCGGAATAAATAGATTTGTGAAGATGTAGTCGTAGCTTAAATAATCAGATGATAAGTTTAAAAAACAGGATCCATTTATTATTGGTCAGGAGAAATAGCAGTTACAATCAGATATGCGGAGTAAATAAAAAGATCTACAATAACATTTGTATGAAGTTTACTACATTGACATTTAAAAAAAAGCCCCGATATTTCCTTTTGCGCGTCTTTTTATAGCCTCTGGAAAGGCAGAGCTTCCAAGACATACGTCAGCCTCGTCAGTCTTCCAGTTCGCTTTTAAATATCTCCAGACATTCTAAACGTACGGGTAAAAGGCGGGAAAAACAACTTGACTACGGGCTGTGGATTTAAGTCCACGTACTTTCAAATAAGAGAACGTCACCATTAAAAATTAAAAGAACATACAGTTACTAGTTTGACTATGGAATTTTATTATTACATATATATATATGTGTGTGTGTGTGTGTGTGTGTGTGTGTGTGTGTGTGTGTGTGTACATGCAACCAAGAAAAGGTTACTGCAAGCGTATGAATGAGGCTAGTTAAATTATGTAAAAAATTAAGGTATTTAAATAAGTAATAAAAAAGTGCTATGCATGAATAAAATGTAAATATGAAGTAATTTTAAAAATGAGCTTCTTCCATGCATATTTCTTTGAAGTAGTTTTTTTTTTTTCCCTGCAGAGGAAACCTTTCAACCCTGTGTAAAATACTAAAACATGCAGCTATTTATTCTGTTGTCCTTAAATAATGCTAAATATATTTTTAACAGGTTGATGAATCATGTACTTTTATAAGACACTGAATATGTCTTTGAAGATTATCTTTTCTTATTTTTTCATGGATGTGTGTTTAAGAGCAGAAAATAAATTTTATGACAGTACAGTGCATGCTCAGATTTTTTGATAAAATTTCTTTGAAAACATAATAACTGATTTCAATTATTATCAACAAATTCATGCCTTGTTATATCATGATATTCCTGGTTTTGAAATTTTAAACATTTTGTACATATACTTACTAGACACTAGGTTTGCCTTAATGAACATTTTCTATTATTTTACTCATACTTAGTTGTGCTGAATGCTCATCATCTTCAAATCCAATCTTACTGACATTGAAAGTTGTTGGTTCTAATTTCACTTGTTTGATCCGGGCCCTTTAGTACAGCAGCGAGTCATTTCCCATCTAGTTAGCTTGAAATTATTTCTATCCAAAAACAGTTGTCTGGTTTGAAATATCTTAACCAGAAACTTTAAGAATTTTGGTTGCAAATTTATCGAGTTTCACTCAAAATTTGATGCAAACATGTTTTTACTGCCCATTTCAGAAACTGTGGGTAAAACTAAAGAAGTTTAAAAGAAATTCACTCATTCAAAATTGGTTGTTAAGTAGCTGATTACAAAATTATGCTCCTAACCTACTTTTGCCTACTGTTCAAGAAGGCATTAATAAGAATAATAGTTCAGGAACTTTCCAATAGATTTGCATTCTGCATTCCTCTGTTTAGTTCCCCCTCCCCAGCACACACAGGCAAGTTTTAACAATTACAGTATTTAATAAACAGCTAGCTAAGCTACACATGTATTATATCATCAATTGTGATAAACATTCATTTGTTTCAGTAAAATATAACTGATGGCTAGCATACTTTTTAATTCAATATTAAAAAAAGTTTTACTTTGTATATAATGCATTATCGAAAAGTATTTTTATAGCTGTTATATAACATATGAACAAAAATATGCCTTCTAATTCTAATCTGTGTAGAAAAGTCTCCTGTTAGATCAAGAGATGCTTATGCTGACCTGTCTGCTGGCCTTAAAATTCTTCATCCTAAACATATTCAAAGAAAGTTGAATTCTATAGAAATTTCCCCTCCACCATCAGTAGATGTAAGTATCTGAATTTTTTGTGTCATAATTAAAATTGTACCGAAGTTACAATGATTTTTTATAACTTTATCATGAAAAACAGAATTTTCAGAACCTCAGTAAAGATCTAATTCATGATAACTGTATAGGAATGTTAAATATTTAATTCTGAAGTAAATGCACTTCACATAAAAATGGTTAATTATATTGAATATATATATTTAATTATTTTTTTTTATTAAATTGTATTTGTTGCTTACATGGAAAACAATTTTAAGCAGCCTAAGTGCAATGAATTCATTGTTATTCATGTTTAAAATAATTTTTATGGAAGGTAAATAATTTCACACACTGTTTTATAAATATTTATGCCATCAGTATAATTAATAAAATATATTTCATAACCTTTTCTGTAAATTTATGTAGGGAGTCAAAGAATTGTGACAGTTCTTTATTTCTTATTCTTGTTAACTGATTGACAATTTTTTTTATTGCTTTACGTCTCAAAAGTGGGACTTAGAATAGATATTAAATTTATCTATAGTATTATTTTGACATATGTATTTTTAGATCAAGCGTTTGTGTTTCTGTGAAGATTACAGTACCACTGATGATGTTGTGGTGTATGCCATTATAATCTTCAATAGGGCCATTTGCTATAGTTGATTTAATTTTTGACAGACTCGGACCTTGTTTGTCATTCATACTGGATATTCATAGAGAGTTATTTTATCAAAGTAAAAAGAGTACTCTTGTAGAGTTCTTTTAATACTTTTCCCATGAAATTCTACAATGCTCTGACCATTCTGTTCAGGCTGTTATGACTTTGTTTGCTTTATCTCTTTACTGATATTAAGTGGGCAGCCCATGTGTGCTTTTTATCAAAGACAAAGCCTAGATACTGTATCTTGCCTATGTAGTAGGAATCTTTGACATTTTATTCATGGAAGGAGGGCTTCAATTCGATCTTTTGTTGTTTTGGGAGCATTATCATTCGTGTTTTATCTACGCTGAATTTTAGTATATTTTCTGTTTTAGCAGGATACAACATTTAATGTATGTTCAGCCTTTCCTTTTATTATGGTGTGATTTCTTCTGCCCATTATTAATATGAAATCATCCACATGCACCTGTATTCGGGCTTCACTGCCAAACTTCAGTGGGGTATCTCAAGTAATGTTTCATAAAGTACGCCTGATGCTTTAACCCCGGGTGCTCCTTTGTGGTGTTCTTTGGAAATATTTACACCATTTCTCTTACAAGTTACCTTTTTTTCCCTCTTGGTAATTATTTATTTTTAAAAGATTTCTGGGACAATTTCAAGTCTTTAAGCCGCACTTTCATCACTTGCCACCATGACTTATTGAAGGCAGATGCCATCTCAAGCAAAATACACAGATATGTAGATTTTTCACTTTGATATTGAAGAAGTATTTCTTATAGATTATTTAGTGCATCTACTATTCTTTTAGTAGAGCCAGATTATGCAATAGTCAGTAAATTAATTTTCTCCAGTTGATACATTAGTCTTGATTGATTAATTTGTCAAGTACAGTCAAAAGTCGTTAATTCGGACACCCATAATCCGGACCTTAAAGCTACAAACTTTCTGCACATTGTGGCGTTTGACCGCATGCAACGTAGAATCCTTTAACGATTGCCGGATATGCGTGTGCACTTCGCAAACTCCTTTACGTCTTGCGCTTTAATGTATACGGACGATATAGCTAATTAAGACACCATAACAACGCCGAATATATAATTCAGAAGTCCAACAAAAACAAAACAACAAAAATCAAGCGTTATATTACAAAATTTTCACATGGCTAGTTTCGATGGTTTTTAAACCGAACCACCATCTTCAGCTGGCAAAACCGCAAATGCGGTTTTTCGTCGCCGCTTCACAATAGTTGTTAATTTCCGCCTTCAATTAAGAACATGGATGGCGCCGCCCACGGCAAGTCACTAATATGGTAGCTCTGGAACGAGACCTTTATCGGTAACATCATCGCGCAAACCGGAATCAAGCATTTACTCACCGACTGCAATCATCCTTTGAAGGGGCCGGAAACCGCTCACTCACTGCGGGAAAACCAGGAACGAGAAGGAATCGATCAGAGCGACGCGAGATACTTAAGTAGCAGAAGTTAGGAATTGACATTCATCCCAATCTCACGGCAACCAATCAGCGATCTCGTCACGAATCGGCTTTTCAGATGACTTACCATCATGTTTCGTTTTTTTGCATCTCAAGTAGGGGGAAACCAACATTCCGTTCCTCAATGCAAACAGTGCAAGCAAGAAAAATAAGTAGAAGTACTCTATATCATTAAATAAGGACTAAACTAAATCACATTTCAGGAGGAGAGATGATTGCAGTAAAAGGTTTAAAAATACGCTATATTTCCCAACAAAGTGGATGCTGCAAAAAATGAACCTAACCCTTTCCAAAATCTTTTATATGAAATCCTTCCAAACTCTTTTAGTCCAGTTCACGGCTGCTCTGCGCAGGGGGGAGGGGGATGCCCGCGGCCGCGCCCTGAATTGGAATTGTCTGTCACACGCACTATCCTTATCTATCTCAGGGGGCAGATGTTTTTTCAATTGTATTTGTCTTATTTCCTTCTGATTCCCTTACAATGTAAATGTAGCTTTCTCTCTATTCGAGTATTCCGTCTTGGTATATTTAAATCAATTCTCCATCATTATAATTGATTCGGCTAGTGAAAAAGTGCCAGAGGTTTGAAAACGGAAAAATTCGTTGACAATTAGTCGGTAATTCTCGACACACGCAAATAAGGACTTGACTAGCGGATTTGTAATGAACAAGAATAATGTCTGTTGTAATAGAATTAAAGAAAAGTATTATGACATAAAACGAAACAGTTACATTGTAAGAATGTTTAATATAAACAAATAATATTAGCCTTTTTTTTTTTTGTAAATTTGATACCCTTTAGATCATAATTGTTCTTTATTTCATAATTACGGTTTAAGGTTTTAATTTATAATTCTGCATGCCTCTTACAGATTTAAATGATGATTAAATCTGGAAAAATCGATAATCCGGAATCGCCAAAGTTCCGACGAGTCCGGATTAACGACTTTTGACTGTAATTTGCCATAAACTGATAACAGACAGGTGAGCCTATAAGAATCTAGCCGTGTCTTGTTTTCCCCCTCCTTGAGGGAAAAGTACTAACTCTGTGTTCTTCCTTTCAGTCAGGAAGTATCCCGTTTATGAAGGTTTGTTAAACATCTCTATTTGTAAGTCTTTGTTAGTGTGTCTCAATTCTTTAGTTAAGTTGATAGTTAGGCTATCTGGACCTGGGGGATCGCACCTCTCTTAGTTGTGAGTTACATCTGCCTTAACTGTTTTTGAGAATGAGGGGGTCATGTTCCATTGCTGGTGGAGTACTTGAGTAGAATTCTCAAGTCTGTGTGCTTCACTGTATCGTCATTGCTATTTCCTGTGGGAAATAATAATTAAATATTTCTAGGATAATTTTTTTGCTGACTTCTTCTTTAGTAATACACTTAATTGTAAGAGTATGACATCTTCTTTAGTAATACACTTAATTGTAAGAGTCTAAGCTTTTGCCTTTGACCAGATCGATATAAGTTTCAAAGAGAGAATTGATTGTTATTTTATCCCAGAAGGCATCCCAGGAATCTCTTTTTTTCTTTGTATATTTGTATTTTGCTACTTTTGTTTTGTATGTTTTATTGCCTTTCTTGTCCTGTCATCTTTTAAAATCTTTTTCTGGGTGCTGTTACACATTTCCTTGCATACTGAAACTCTTGATTCTCGTATGATGGACATATCGAAATGTCAAAATCATTTATTTAGCCGAGAAATCTAAACAACGGCTACAATCTCCCCCCTCCTCTTTTTCCAGTTATGCTCAAATACGATATTCGACATTCCTTCGAGTATCAGATTAGTTAAGCTTTTTACTGTTAAGGATGACTGCATGAAGCATTCCATCCCTGATTTCAAAATGTTCCCTTTTATATATATGTTAAGGGAAACTGTTATGAATGAAAATTAAAAATTCAGAATTTTATTAAATTATTTAAATATTCATAGACTGAAAATAATTGTATTATTATAGTCCATTAAATACAATTAATTGGCTTATTATTATTTATTTCTATGTTTTGAACTTAAATTTCATCATTAAAATTTGTATGTAGTTTAGTTCTGCACAGTTTTTTTTTCTTCATTGTAATTATTGTGTAAATTGAACTGTCATTAAAATTTAAAAAAGACAAGTTAATGTTTTCCATGGTTGAGGTAATACTCATTCCTTAAAATATGCTTGCTCATATTTTAAATTGCAAGTCTAATTGAAAGTGTTATAGTGCTTATTTTTACTAAATGTGCTATAACCCTGTTCTTTCTTCTTCTCAAATGTGCTATGAACCCTGTTCTTCCATGAATAGTTTCTTTGCTCTGTACTTTTCATTCTACCCATCTGTGTTCATCTTCAGAGATATAATGCAAATCTTTTGTTTTCTTTGTGATGGGAAAATCTATTTCTTCTTTAAACATTAAATTGTCTTGGACTTTGAGTCTCTGAAATACTGTAATCTTGTTTAAATCTAATCCAGTCTGTGTGGAGGAGATTCATCATAATTTTTTGGATCTCATATGTTGAACATTAGTAATCTCAAGGTAGATATTCTTGTGGGCACTTGAGTTTTCCTTGTCCATGATGTGCCAGTCTGTTATGTCAGAGCTCCTGGAAAGGGTAAGTAAATGCTTTCCAGGTGTTGGCTCTTGAGCTGGCAAAAGTTGGTATCTCAAAAAAGTTGCTCATAAGGGAGAATCTTGTTGAAATACGTTTCAAACTTTTTCAGCCTTTTGGATCTGCATGGTTTAATCCTCATAGCAGCCTTTTTGCATTTAAATCTCTGTTAATCATTGTTGGGATGTTTGGGTCATCTTTTGTTAATGTTTCAAAGATTTCAATAATTGGTTGTAAGTCCTGTGAAGGAGAATGATACTCTGAGATCATTTGGAACAGTGAGTCTTCTTCGACTCATAATGCTACTACTTGGGTGTACTATATATTTCTAATGCTGATAGTGCTGCATCTGTTATAATTACTGGTGTTTTGAAGATAATAATACGTTGATATTAAAGGAGTAATCCATACAGTTTATTATTTATAATGTTGTTGGGTCCTGCGCACTTACTATGTTTATGTTATCATTAAGGTCAAGTTTTGCTTGTAATTCTTTTGCACTCCCAGAATGCTATATGGTAATTAGTATAATTGTTTTTTCATGAGTTGACTCTCTTTCAAGAAAGTTAGTTTTCTAATATAGGAAGATAACTTTTTGCTTATTGTATTGTGTTCTGTATTATATTTTAGAATAGCTTTTGAACAGTTTACAGATTATTTGGTTTTTTTTTTTTTTTTTTTTTTTTTTTTTTTTTACATTATCGGGCTTCTTGGATTTCTTAGCCATATTCTGCATATTGTTTTTCCCTTTAAAATTTTTTACATTATAATTGAGTTCTAAACATTTTATGCATTGCACCAATTTAAAAAAATTCTTTAACATTGTCACAAATCCACAAAAGTTTTGCTTTCCTATTTTTCGTTAGAGATTTAAAAGTCTGTGTGTTCACTGATTGTACCCTATAACCAGCATCAATTGAGAATGGAACTTCTATCTCTTCTTCAGCATATTCATTATTTTGAGTTTTGATTAATCTTTTTAAATCTCTGTTTCTGTCTCTTTATTTACAATGTCCACTATAACCCATGGATTTAATTTTTGAGGGTATTTTGCTTTTGTGATTTCTTTTAGTATCATATTTTCTTTAATTGACTCTACATCAAGATAATATTTTTTTGTAGCCTCAACCAACAGGCCATCCTTTCTTATTTTTTTCACATTTTTGATGCCAGCTTTTAATTTTATCTGACTTATATTCTTTACAATTTGGTCTTTAACTTCCCTGAAGTAATTTCTGTTTTTGGATATATTAATGCACATGCTTCTGACTTTTTTTGCTTTCCCTGTTCTTCTTTTGTGATTATGTAGACTGCAGTCTCAGAGGATTATTAGAGCATGATCTTACTGCATTTGCAAAAGTTTTGCTTCTTTTGCTAATAGCCCCCTAATGTATTTCTCATGTTTCCATATACAAATAAGTAGGACTTTGGCAATTCAATAACAATACCTGAATGATATCATTAAACGCTGTCAGATAAAGCAGTATCTACTGTATGCCTAAAAACATATTTTTTTAAATGGTGTTCAAATTTTTATAGGTAATGATACAGAATTTTTTTTTAATAAAATGTTTCAAATAAATTAGAAAAAATATCTGAATTTTATTTGTATTAAGCCTAAATTTTAGATTATAGGAGAAGGAAGCTTAATTGAAACAATGATGCTATTAAATATATACCAAATTCAATTAACATTATTGAGCTAAATTTAAAAAAGTGCTGGTGCAATTTATACAAAGCCTGGTGCTTTGACATAATTTTGAGGCATGGAATCAAAATATGGAAAGATAGTCAGCATGTTAATTCATGGAAAGCTAGATTTTCGTGTGAAAATACATATTGTTACAAAAATGCCCAGCCGCTGTTAAATAGCTTGCCCACAAAGCAGATTTAGGGTTGGCAGATAATGGCAAGGGAAGACAGGTTACCACATTTAGCACAAAATTGCCTATTTGGCGACAAAATTGGCCAAACTGAGAAGTGGAAGGTGCTAAAGATTTCTCAACGACCACGGAAAAACTATAAGACCAGGGAGAGCATCATTTTCTCAATAGCAGGTGTTTATAACATGAGATTAGAGTATTGAGATTCTCCCTGTGAACTCAACTCTTTAGATGCACTTTGCATTATCTAGTGTTTAAGGTTCTTAGTAGTTTTAAGTGTAACTACTGTTTGTGCTCTGTGATAGTGAGAAAAGGTATACAAGTATTTTTGTGCAAACTCCCATAACTATAAAGTGTTTCTTTTGGTAAAATAAATTTTATCAAACTATCATTGGTTCTGTGTCCATTCACTCCATTACAAACCTATACCCATGCAACAATAAGTTACATATAAATGTAATACATATACCAAGTCATGCTTTTGAGACATGAGAAATGCAAGTTGAATTTCATGAATTAGCCAAATAGAACAGGACAGAGTCCCCACTCCACCCCTTTTTTTTTCATTCACTGTATGTACTGGCCCACTTATGTATGATTATTATTACTATAATTATATTTTATGTTTGACTTTTTTAAATGTCAACAGTCAGTATCATTTTTATTCAAAGAAAGATAACATCCCCCCAGGCTTGTGTTTTTAGCAAAATTTGGTATAATAAAATATATTTAAAATAATTGTGCTAATTAGGAAAGGTTTTATAGTTTTCAGTTCCATTCCTATTTAAGAATTAGATTCCTTTTGATTTTATGAAGCAGTTTATAGAAGTGTATAGAATCAATAGACTACTGTGTTTCTATATTAATAATAATAATAGAACAATCTACCAAATAAATTTTGGATCCACCACATAATTTAGAGAGTTTTCAAAAACTGATTGTTTCTTTTTTATTCAGTTCCCTTCTACCTGCCTTTAATTTTTTACATATAGTTTTGAACCACGCTGTATACTTACATACATTAGTGCATGTATATATGAATACATACATTCATACATTTCTGAATCTGGTCCCGATAGGAGAAGAGTGCCAAAAATGTATCTTAATTAAGTTATAAATTCATACTTAATGCCTGCTTGTTGCAGCACTTCTGAAAGCAGCAAGATTAAGGGTTAGTTATGTAACTTTTCCTATTGCATGCTCATGGTATTCTTTTTACAAGGTACATAATTGTATATTGGTTATTTCTTTATTAACTTTTTTTATTTGTTTATCAGCTGTTATCATTTTTGTTTTCCTGTAGGGGAGACAGGGGACATATTTTGAAGTTATTGCTTTCCTTGTGGGGGTGATTATAATTTAATTTTTCTTTTTAAACTTTCTGTGTTTTATTAATTGCCACTCCTATAGATGTTATTTTAAAATACTGTTTTCTTTCAAATAGTTTTTGCTTTATATATGAGTTTGAAAATATATTCATAATTGCATTCATTAGGAAGATGCGAGGGGAAAAAATGACACTTCAGGAGGTGCAAAAAACAGCTCATAAATATTTTAGCCATGTGGGAAGTACTTTTATACCTTTATATTCATTTGTATTTCATCCTGTCACATTTAGCATTTTGCATTAAATGACATCTTTTGATGTATGATTTATTGCTAGAACAATGATGCATGTAACCCAACATAAAAACCTATGAAATGTCTAAAAGAATTAATACATGGACTATGTTACTTTTAATTGCATTTAAATAAATACTTTTATAATTTACAGGATGTTACATCATCTGTCCACCCTAAGCTTATATCTAAAGTGCCTGGTGATCCTTTTCAAAGATCTGAAAGAGGAAAAAAGACAAAAAAGGAAGAACACCAGCAATTTGTAGAATCACCATCTATTTTAAATTTGTAAGCTGTATTTCTTGTAATGAAATTTGATTTTTTTTTTTAAGTAAGATTTTGTTAACTCAAGTAAAACTGAAAAATTTTTGTTGATAGTATTAGCAATCTTCTTTTTTTTTTTTTTTTTTTTTTTTCCCCAACAAAACCGATTTTTTTTCCTTCAAATAAAAATTTAATCAACTCCAATTTCCGGGTATAAGCTACATTATTAAAAAGATGAGTGATGGTCTGCAGAAAATCATGCATGTTGTGCACCCCGTCATAGGCAATCTCCATTCAAATCATCAACAGAACATTTGTTGCTATAGTTATACTATAACTTCCAGATTGTTGGTAATGGGTTGTACACAATGCCTAAAAGTTTCAAAGTTTCAAATAAGTATATATATATTAGATATAGATTGTATGTGCATTGCAGCTATTCAAGTTGTGACTCTCAAATATTAGTCTCGAATTTAGTCTCTTTGGTGAATGCTACTGAGATGGCACCTGGTATCACCTGAGGAGTACACACACATATTATTGCAGGGTTTATACGTTTTAATAAGAAAGAAATTTATTTTTAATTTAATATGTAGGCTTTTAAGAAATTCACAAAATATTTAGTCGTAGTACTGCATGTATGATTTATTATTACAAAAAAGAGAATTTTATGTATATTTTATAGTTTTAAGTTAATATGGCTCTTTCTTTCTATCCAGAATACATACTGCACGAAAAAATGAGAATTCAGGTTCCTCTCAGATCAGGACAAAGAAGGCTAAAACTGCTGATCCTTTTCATTTAAAAGAAGATAAAAGGCTGAAAAAGAAGGTATAACAAACACTACATGCATGCTAAGCAAACGTTATATTCGTAATATTATGTTTTATATAATTGAGCCAGCCTGAATAAAATAATAAATGAGTATGATGAAATAATCTCGGATTTTTTTTATAATGTATTAGTTACATATATACTTGCATATATAGTACTCTTTCCAACTGTAATTTCAAAAGATGGATTGATGTTAAAAAAATTTCGTTATATCATAATAATAATTTTGTGTTATGGATTGTACGTGCATTGCAGCTATCAAAGTTGTGACTCTCGAATTTAGTCTCTTTGGTACTATCCTATACGAAACCTGCTTATTAAGTACTATTTGATATGATAGGGAATTTAAAAGATTTACAAAGCCAAACACTGTATTTACTCAAATTTTTCCCTATCTTTCTTATCTTATTCTTCCCCCACCTATAATTTTTTTAGCATATGATTTAAGAACTTTTGATTTTCTCATATAATTTTAATTTGATCCTTAAGTTTAGGAACTGAGCTTTTTCACAAGAATGATCAGTTCCTGGAATTTTCACCCACTGATATCCTCTGAATATAAATTTCAAAGCAATTCATTCACCCTTTCTGTAGAAATAAAAAGGAAAATAAAGTGAACATCCTGTAGAATTAACATAGGCATGCCTTGGAGTTTCAGTTTATAACTATTGTTAACTTACATTAAGCATGCCAGTATCTCAACAGGTTCAGGCTTCAAGAGATATTGTTAAAGAAAGGATATATATAATTTCTTTAATGCTGTTAGGATGTAGAAATCTGATGTTCTTCCAAAGTACATAGTGGTTGTAAATGTCATTTTCCCTACAGTCCACCTCCTAGATGCTATGGTAGCAAAACTAACATTCTACTTTTTTTTTTTTTTTTTTTTTTTAAGTTCTTTTTCAAATTTTTTATGATAACTTTTATCAGTAACAAGAATGTTCAGATTTAATATATGTAGCTTAACAGGAAATATGCTTTTCATACATAATCCAAGAGATAGGTTGCAATGTACAATAAGGGGAAGGGAAATTGTATTAAAGGCAGTAGAGTATCTCTATTCATTTAACACATTTTAGTTATTTTGGTTCTTTTTTGCCTAGTATATATTGCATAATTTTTTGTTGTTGGTTTGCAAGCTTTAAAGTTAGTAAATGAAAGGGGAAATATGTAAATATATATGTGTGTATGTGTCTATAAAATATGTATATATGTAACATATGTATGGTAGTGTGATGTAATCATAATCATCTCATGAATGTGGTGTCAGACTAAAATGTTTGCCCTTTTTTAGATTGACAAATTGTTATTCTATAAATTCAACTTTTAGGCTTTTTTTAGTGTATATATTCTGGTTTTCAGTTTGGATCATTTTTCAAATTATTACTGCCAAATATTAGAGCCCTGCATTATATTTAAAGAAACAAATAAGGGACATCTGATTTGCTCGCAGTGAAAAACCACGGTATCTAGACACCTCAAAGATAGGGTTGCTGTCAAACTGGACATTGGAAGCCAAAGGGAAGTTATTATCTATTTCATAATAAAAAAGAATTTTAATTAAAACACTCAATGTTTCAAATCACATTAACAGTACATCACGTGCATTCAAATGGGTTTTTTGAAAATTCTTTCTGTTCTCTTATTTTATTCTCTCTCTCTTTTTTTGTTTTTTTTTTTTTTTGTGTGTTGAATTGTTTGTGGTTCACTAAAGGTGTTCACTTTATTTTAAATTCCAAAAGAAACATGATCTTAATAAAGTAAGGTAACCCAGAACCTGAAAAATTATTATTGAACCTTTTTTATATATAAATCTGAAATTTTTTTTTTTTAGGGTGGTAATGGTTGTTGAAAACTTTCTTAACATGTTATAATTGTTGCAACGTTGACCAAAGAACTTTGATAATCTTTTTCCCGGCAGTTGAGAAACTTAGTAAATAATGTAAATATTGGCACTCTCCGATTTCTCCCGATTTTCGACCGCTCTCCCCCAACCCGATTTACAATATTTTCTCCCCGACTTTCTTATTCTTAATTTCTCACGATTTTTATGGAACTTGGCTTAATACTTCGTTATATGAACAAAAAAAAAAAAAAAAAAAAAAAGTGATTTTGGACGTCTGAAAGCAACTGAATTTTCTCTAGATTATATCTAAAATGAAACCTTGCGAATCAGATGAGAATTTCTGCTTTGCTTTGTGATTGACAGCATACGTATCCAGAAACGTCGTTCTCCAGTTGTCCAATGGGCATCGAGCTCCACTGCGTGTCATCTGGCATATATTAGCCAATGAGCACAAAGCAAGCTCAAGGCCGTTGGCCGTTCTTTGGATGTTTTTTCGCTATTTCGTTCATCTTGTCCTGAGTTGTGTGAGTACACGTGCCTTTAGGAAATAGTTTTAGAAATTATCGTCTTTTGATATGTCTGCGAGAAAGGTGAAATACTCGTGCACGTTTCAAAAATCGTACACAGTTGACTTTCCTTCCATTATTTCTTCAAGGAAATGTAATAAATTTGCGATGTGTACCATCTGTCGTTGCGATTTTTCGATTTCGCTTGGTGGAAGGGCAGATGTTCTCAAACATGTGCGTACACAAAAACACAAGGACAACATGAGTTGTTTTGAAAAAACGAAAAATTAAATTTTTCTTCGGAAACAAAAGACCAAAAAGTGATTAATGCAGAATGTCTGTTCTCTGCCTTTTTACTGGAGCACAACCTGCCACTGAATGCATCGGATCACGCTGCAGCTTTATTTAGAAAAATGTTTCCCGATAGTGAAATCGCTAAGAAATACTCAAGTGCAAGGACCAAAACAGGTGCAATTGTTAAAGAAATGGGTTTGAAAATAAATCTTCAGTTATTGATTGCATTAAAACAGCTCCGTTCTGCCTCTCTCTACGGATGGAAGCAATAATACCAATTCAAAACTGTATCCAATTGTTGTTTTTTTTCTTTTTTAATCCAGAGTCTTCAGAAATTGAGTGCAGTTTACTTTCTGTCCCCACTTTAGAAGGACATTCGACAGGCTTTAATATAGCACAGCTAATTATTAAAACTTTAAAATAAAAATGCAGTCCCTCTGGATAATTGCTTAGCGCTTGGTGCCGATAATGCACCAGTAATGGTAGGCTTGAAAGACTGGTGTTGCAGGCATCTTAAGAAAGGCAAATTCAGATTTGCAGATTATGAGGTGCACCTGTCACCTCTTAAATTTAGCAGCTGAAAAAGGGGCAGCTTCTTTACCATTAAATGTGGATGAAACACATTGTTGATATTTATTATTATCTTGAAAGGAGTTCTAAAAGAAAGGAAAAATTGAAACAGTTCCAAACAGCTGCATAATACTGAAATGAGAAAAATTTTGATTTTTTTGTAATTTCTGCATCATTCAGCAATTCAACTGGCAGTTCTCAAAATAATACTGCAAAATATAAGCGTAAAGCTGATACAAATTTCTCTCAAAATAAAAAAAAAAAAATTGCTCAACACACGAACAAAACATTTTTCCGATTACTGTAAGTTTATCTTGTGAAGAACGAATATTTATGTTTTTTTTTTTTCGGACCTTAACAAAGCTTTTTGCTTTTTTTTTTTACAATTCATTTTGCCATCATTCGATGTTCTGAACACAATTCTACAAAGCAGAATTCCATTAATTCATGTTTTGCAATCAATGATTTATGATCTGTTTAAAGACATTTTATCAAAGTTTGTAAAACCAGTCTGTGTTTTGTCTTGTAATTCTATATATGATGTGATTTATGGTGAAACAGAAAATCAGAAGGAAGATGAAGATTTGGTAATAGGAGCTGCAACTACAAAAGTAGTGGAAGAACTTTCAGAAGAAGACAAAAATAAGTTTTATCTTCATGTTAGAAGTTACTTCTGTCGAGTATGTGATTACATACTACATAAATTTCCAGTCAACGATGAAGTGATTTTGCATGCTAAAGTTGCTGATGTTTCTGCTCTAGCAAATGCATCTTTTTTTTGATATAAGGTACTTTTTGAACAGATTTCCTGTGTTACTTCGTTTAGTCATGAAAGATGATGATATTGATGTTGCTACTGATATACTGCAGTCGCAATTTTGCAGTTTACAATTAGAAAACTTGGATGAAGTTATAAAATCAGCTAGGATTGACACCCAGTGGAGGTTAATTGGAAAATTGAAAGGTGCTGATGGAATTTTAAAATATAGTGAACTCTCTAGAATTATGTTGGCCATCTTGACAGTTCCCCATAGTAATGCAGAGTGTGAGAGGATTTTCAGTGTTGTTGCGAAAACGAGGACTAAATTTAGATCTAATATTAGTGATGACACATTAGAAAAACTTTTATTAGCGAAAGCAGGCCTACGTGGCAATTGCTATGAACAAAATTATGAAGTTTCTTTCTTAACGAGCAAAATCTGCCACTGTCCATAACATTTGTATGAAAACTGATTAAAGTGCCTTTTTTTTTTTTTTTTTTTTTTTTTTTTTTTAAACGATGAAAGTAATAAAAATGTTTTTTATGTCTAAGGTATTTTTGTTTTGCTTGCATTTAAGACTTAGTAACTATTTAAAGTTAATTCATTATTAAAAACTATATTTTTATCATTTAAAAAGTCTTTTTAACATTTGAAATGTGAAAAATCTCCTGATTTCTTAAAAAAA